CTTTAGTGTGTAAGCAATCCAAAAAAACTGTAATGACCTTCTGCTCCTCTATTAATGAGGGGACCCCTCAGGCACGTAAAAAGTTGCCTAATTCCGTCATTTTCCACCAATGTGTCACTGGCCACCTCAAACAACTCACATCTTTGTCAGTGAAGCTGAGTGCTCCCACATCTCTTCCTTCATGGTGCCCATCTACATTAGGATCCAACATTCTGAGATTAAAGTCAGAATTCTGAGAAAAAAGTCAGAATTTTCCCATGTTAAACTGAAATAAAATTTAAAAATCAGTTAACTTTTTTTTTTTTTTCAGTGGCCCTAATCCTCTTCCGTAGGTTCTTGTATGTCTGGTCATTTATTTTTGTGTTTTTAAATTCAGAACAAGTTGGGGGCTGTTTTACAGCCTGGACCCTTTAAGGAGCCCCTGGTTGAAAGATATGCACTAATAATTCTAACTAATAATTCTTCAAATATGCAGCAGACTTCAGTTTTAAATATTAGGAACCTGGTTTTACCATTTTAATTCTGTGTTTGATATTTCGTCTAAATCTGTTATCTAAAAATCAAAATAAGACATTTTATTTATATTTTTAACCACTTTTATTCAGTTGAAATAGTGTTTCTTAGATTGGTTCAGGTTAAAAAGTTAATGTAAAATAGTCTGTTTTTCATTTAAGAGTTTTTTTTTAGTTTTGAAGAGCAGAAATATTTTAGTCTTGATAAAAAGTTTTAAAAACCTAATTTAATTGTTCTCTTAAACACCTTGGAAAAAAATGACTGGAAACATTAAAATAAAGAGTTGGATAGAAAAGTTTTAGAGGTTCAGCAGCAGTTTGATAAACCTTTTTGGTTAAAGGTAAGCAGTCCAAGCAAACCACTTGGATTTGTTTGTTTAGTTTTTAATTACAGATACGTGTCAGATTAATGTTTTGTCCTGTTGTGTTCATTTGGCTTCTCCCAGTTTGCAGCTTTAGTAGCATGTAGATGACATGGTTATGCAATCTGTCATTTATCCTGCTGTAATGGGACCTAAAGCCGTGTAGGAGTGTCCCTGTTTATGTTGGCACTGGCCTGCTGACAGCTTGGATTAGATGCTTCAGGGAAGCAAGGTGGAAATTCTACTGACAGGGAATCATTTAGCTTCATGTTTAACCCACTTTTTTCTGAACAAGTAATTTTCTATGAAGTGAATTTTGTTCCATTATTGTTTCAAGCAATATTATTGCTTAAATCCTACCAGTGGATGGTGAGCTAAATATGAAAGGTTCTGTCTTAAAAGGGAATCTATATAAGCTGAACTAATACTACACACATTTAAATCTTAATAAGTCATTTTTTTCCTAAAATAAGTGCATTTTTACTTGAGTTGAGGAGAAAAAAAACAAAGAAATCTCATTCCACTGGCAAATTAACTTATTTATGTACTCGAATTAAGAGAAAATAGGCGTCATTTTTACTTATTTCTAGATTGTTTTTTCCAAAGAACTTTTTATTTCTCTCCCACCAGAGTCGCCTTGTTAAAGAAAAGTGGTGAGAAGGACTGGAGGGAGAGGATCAGTAAGAAGCAGGATGTGGCGAAGGTTGCAGCGGATGAGCAGCAGGCCCAGATGTGGGAGATGGAGCAGAGCTTCAGGAAGAAGGTAATCACCTCACTGCTGAGTTAGCGCCGCACACGGCCGGCCGCACACATCATACGCACCATTTGTCTGAATGCTGTTCAATCTGTATGTGCGCACAGTTATTGCAGCAGTGACATTTAGCAGTGCTACTGTCTAAAGTGACTCCAACATCATGAGCCGGTATAGACTGGTCCTAACAAAGCTTTGAAGAGGTTCTCCAGGGTTCAGAACGTTACGATCAAAGAAATATCCCAGCCTTTTAATAGTCGTTTGTGGAACACAATTCAGGATTGTCATCCAATGATAACTTTATATACCTCCAAACAGTTAGGCGGTCATCTGATCTGTTTGTTTTTACGTTTTCTCTGTTTTATGAGCCTGGTGGATGTTTTGTTGTTCCTGGACTAAATCAGCATCTAATCTGCACAGATCCCGCTGCAGGAAAACGGATGCTATAGTGTCTCTTTATCAGCTTGTCAGCATTTCATGGCCTGACCCCTCTCACTGGAAAAGTACGGAAGCCTGTGGGTGCCAAAACTGAAATTTGAACAAACTGGAGAAATTAGGGCAGCACACATCAATAGTTCATGTTTTAGATAAATTATGCTTTCTGTAAGGAGTTAAGTAAAAGAAAAATAAAAACAAAGTTCTGTTTTAAATTCTCAGCGATGTGGATGCATCATGTTTAAACACTTTTACAGTAACTTCTGAGGCTAGAAATAATAAAATTGGCAAGATGGCTTTTTTGTTTTGTAGTTTCAGTTAAGAAAATTGAGACAGCAGGTTCATTTTTTTTTTTTTTTTATCTCCATATTTAAATATTAGCCCAGACTGTCAATTTAACAATTAATGTTGTCACAAAATACATGTAAACACATGTTTTAAATTTAAATTGGATAAAAATATTTTATCTTCTCACTTTCTTCATAGTCGAGACACATTTCTGTTGGTCTGCATGGATGTTAGCAACATTTTATTTACTCGCTGAACAGGAGGAAGGTGTTTGTTTTGGACCTAAAGTGAAGAGAATGTGATATGGAAAAAAAAACAAATTGAAAATCAAATATTTTTTAAAACTCAATCTGAAAAAAGAGACATTTTAAAAGATAAAATTCAAAACTATAAAATGTGTAAAACTAAACTGAAAAGAAAATTTGAAGAACATTTTAAGTATCTAAAAAATATCTGAAAAAACGTCAAAGTTTCGTTTTATTTTGGTTTTTTTTTTCCAATTTACAAACCTTTTTTTTTTGCTTTTAACAATGATGGAACAAAACACAAAAAACAGCTACAGCGTTGTTTACGAAGCGATAAACAGCTGTTTCACATATTCAGTCCTTAAGACATTGGCGTAATGTTCATGTCTGAGTTCTAGATGAAGGAAAATAAATGGCATAGTCAGAGCACTTTATTTCCTGTGAAAGTCAGATAGACGGTGAGCATTTTCCTGAAGTGGTCTTGGATTAGTATCTTTTGTGTAGGGCTGAAACCAATAACCAGATCAGTCGTGATTAATTTACTATTGTGAACTAATTTGCTAATCAGATCATAATTTTTATAAAGGCACACAGACTGTTAAACAGGCCTTTTGCTTAAAGAATAATTAANAACTATAAAATGTGTAAAACTAAACTGAAAAGAAAATTTGAAGAACATTTTAAGTATCTAAAAAATATCTGAAAAAACGTCAAAGTTTCGTTTTATTTTGGTTTTTTTTTTCCAATTTACAAACCTTTTTTTTTTGCTTTTAACAATGATGGAACAAAACACAAAAAACAGCTACAGCGTTGTTTACGAAGCGATAAACAGCTGTTTCACATATTCAGTCCTTAAGACATTGGCGTAATGTTCATGTCTGAGTTCTAGATGAAGGAAAATAAATGGCATAGTCAGAGCACTTTATTTCCTGTGAAAGTCAGATAGACGGTGAGCATTTTCCTGAAGTGGTCTTGGATTAGTATCTTTTGTGTAGGGCTGAAACCAATAACCAGATCAGTCGTGATTAATTTACTATTGTGAACTAATTTGCTAATCAGATCATAATTTTTATAAAGGCACACAGACTGTTAAACAGGCCTTTTGCTTAAAGAATAATTAAGAGCATTGTTTAAAACCTTTTATCAACCTAAATGCCACTCTAAAGTCCATCACCCTGCGAATTATAAACAAATAGGTTGCTCCTAAATATAATACATTTACGTAAGAGGATTAGGGCCACTGGAAAAAAAAAAAAAAAAAAAAAAATAGTTAACTGATTTTTGAATTTCATTTCAGTTTAGTATGGAGGAAAAAAAGTCAGAATTCTGACTTTTTTCTCAGAATTCCAACTTTCTTCTGTTTAAGTCAGAATTCTGAGAAAAAGTCAGAATTCTGAGAAAAAAGTCAGAATTCTGAGATTAAAGTTAAAATTCTAAGATTAAGGTTAGAATTCTGAGATCAAAGTCAGAATTCTGAGATCAAAGTCAGAATTCTTAGATCAAAGTTAGAATTCTGAGATTAAAGTCAGAATTCTGAGATCAAAGTAATAATTCTGAGATTAAAGTCAGAATTCTCAGATCAAAGTTAGAATTCTGAGATCAAAGTCAGATTTCTGAGATCAAAGTCAGATTTCTTAGATTAAAGTCAGAATTCTGAGAAATAAGTCAGAATTCTGACTTTTTACCCAGACTAAACTGAAATAAAATAAAAAAATTACTTAACTTTTTATTTCCAGTGGCCCTAATCCTCTTCTGTATAAATTAGAGAATTAAATTCCTGACATTTTAAATATAGAAAAAGATTAAAATGCAAAACGAAGAAAAAGAAGCGATTACATAAAGGTGCATTAATGATATTGTAAAGATCTACTGTCATGTTCTTGGTTCTGTTATGCTTTACTTTGCTCCCTGTTTTCTTTTATTGGTTTATTTCATATATTGTTTTTTCTGGATATATTTTAGTTCTCAGGTTTTTCTTTGTTGTCCTCTGTTGCCCTCTTGTGTGTGTGTTCCTTTTTTCCTTGGCTTCCTCGTTGTCTCCACTCACACCTGCTCCTTATCTGCTCGTTAGCCCTGCCTTTGTTCAGTCGGCCATAAATATTCTCCTCTGCTGTCACTCATTGCTGGTTCCTCGTCATCGCTGGTTCCTCGTCGCTGTTGCTGTTTGTTTTCCCCTGATGTCTCCATGGTTCTGGTTTGTTTTACATTTTAAGTTGGATTTTTGGATTCCTGCCTTTGTTTACCGTTTTCACCAATTAAACTGCAAGAAATCCCCTCAGCCTCTCTGCCTCTGCATTTGGGTCCTCAAACCTCAACCAAATTCTGACATCTACATATATAAACATCTTTTAGATTTTAAGGTCACTTTACCTACCAACTAAAATCAAGTTTAAATACACTCATTAAAAAAACAAATGTGTTGTTTTTTGTTGACTTTTTGCAGTAATGTCAGAATCTGACCTTTGATCCAACAAACGATTCGACTATGTTTCCCCCTCTGCTGGTAGACCGCATTTATTTAAAGTCTCATAATCACATTTCCTCAGACTGTCAGAAGATCGCAGAAAATGTACGTAATTCTCAGTTGCCAAAGTGTTTTTGTAAAATCCCTGATGTTGAAATGAACTCAGGCTGGTTTGGATCGGGCACAGAACAAGCCTGGCACCGTTCTTAGAAACGTCATAGAACAAATTATTATCCTCATAAAAAATGAGACTCTTCACTGTATGTTGCATCTTATATTTCACTGTCAAGTTTCTGTTTGCATCTTTTTTTTTACCATTAATAAGAATAAACCAGTTATCTATCCCTGCATGTTTTTCCATTTCTCCATCAGCAGCTGTTTTTAAAGGCAGGCGTTAAGACGGCTGCCGTTCATGTTCCTCTCTGTTTGGACGTCTTCTCTCCAGCTGCTGCTCTTCATGTTTCCAGCTGCTTATCGGTGTTTAGCCAGTCGCACCGGCAGCTCTGCAGGCAGACGGCTGACGTTTAGATGATTTAATGTCAGGCTGTTGTTCTTCAGACGCTGGGGGAAACGGATAAATTTTAATTTACGCAGATGGTTTAGTAATTGATGGAGGTTATATGCAGGATAAAGAGAAGCACAGTCCGGCTTCTTTGACTTGTTTTCATCCTCCTTGTTCATCCAAACCTGTGGATGACATTTTTAGGTTTCCTGTGTTAGATCGAAGAACAAAAGTGGGGATGAGGTGGAAAAAAAGCAGACTGATGCAGGACTTGCTGGGATTTTGACCAATGAATAAAATGCGTGCAACAGCAGGAGAGCTTTCATTAAATGTCCCTTTTCTTTGGCCGTTTGTCTGTAGGATGATGAAGCACTGATGATGACTGAGGACCTGTTTCGGGTAAGGCCCGTCTGAAAGCCCTCTGTCATGCAAGCACTCTGGTGTTGTTTGGTCTATCACCTTGATTCTGATCAGAAAAGTGATCAAAAGTTTAGATCCTTCACGGCTGGTGTGATGGTTTGGTTTGTGTGCGTCTCCATGTGGTGGTGGTGCCATTTTATTCATTTTGTGATAGTGGGTTACACTATCTGTCTGTNAAGAAATCCCCTCAGCCTCTCTGCCTCTGCATTTGGGTCCTCAAACCTCAACCAAATTCTGACATCTACATATATAAACATCTTTTAGATTTTAAGGTCACTTTACCTACCAACTAAAATCAAGTTTAAATACACTCATTAAAAAAACAAATGTGTTGTTTTTTGTTGACTTTTTGCAGTAATGTCAGAATCTGACCTTTGATCCAACAAACGATTCGACTATGTTTCCCCCTCTGCTGGTAGACCGCATTTATTTAAAGTCTCATAATCACATTTCCTCAGACTGTCAGAAGATCGCAGAAAATGTACGTAATTCTCAGTTGCCAAAGTGTTTTTGTAAAATCCCTGATGTTGAAATGAACTCAGGCTGGTTTGGATCGGGCACAGAACAAGCCTGGCACCGTTCTTAGAAACGTCATAGAACAAATTATTATCCTCATAAAAAATGAGACTCTTCACTGTATGTTGCATCTTATATTTCACTGTCAAGTTTCTGTTTGCATCTTTTTTTTTACCATTAATAAGAATAAACCAGTTATCTATCCCTGCATGTTTTTCCATTTCTCCATCAGCAGCTGTTTTTAAAGGCAGGCGTTAAGACGGCTGCCGTTCATGTTCCTCTCTGTTTGGACGTCTTCTCTCCAGCTGCTGCTCTTCATGTTTCCAGCTGCTTATCGGTGTTTAGCCAGTCGCACCGGCAGCTCTGCAGGCAGACGGCTGACGTTTAGATGATTTAATGTCAGGCTGTTGTTCTTCAGACGCTGGGGGAAACGGATAAATTTTAATTTACGCAGATGGTTTAGTAATTGATGGAGGTTATATGCAGGATAAAGAGAAGCACAGTCCGGCTTCTTTGACTTGTTTTCATCCTCCTTGTTCATCCAAACCTGTGGATGACATTTTTAGGTTTCCTGTGTTAGATCGAAGAACAAAAGTGGGGATGAGGTGGAAAAAAAGCAGACTGATGCAGGACTTGCTGGGATTTTGACCAATGAATAAAATGCGTGCAACAGCAGGAGAGCTTTCATTAAATGTCCCTTTTCTTTGGCCGTTTGTCTGTAGGATGATGAAGCACTGATGATGACTGAGGACCTGTTTCGGGTAAGGCCCGTCTGAAAGCCCTCTGTCATGCAAGCACTCTGGTGTTGTTTGGTCTATCACCTTGATTCTGATCAGAAAAGTGATCAAAAGTTTAGATCCTTCACGGCTGGTGTGATGGTTTGGTTTGTGTGCGTCTCCATGTGGTGGTGGTGCCATTTTATTCATTTTGTGATAGTGGGTTACACTATCTGTCTGTGTGTCTGTTTTCATCCAGATTTCTTTTCAATGACTTCTATGTTGTACATTTTGCCCCAAACTAATCTTTTTATCTTCAATGAAAATGAAAAACAAAACAAAAGACTGGCTTAAGGTCGGTTTCTGCTTAATGGGGCTACAAGATCAGCTTGACGTAGTCACCGCTGCGCTCCAGACCGCCTGCCCAAAGCAAAGCCTGCAGCCTCCACGGTTCCTCCCGCTTAATTTAATATGATGCATTTAAAAAATCCCATCAGCATTCAGCATATGTGCAGTTTCTGCCCAGATATTTTATTTTTGTTGTAGATTTTTGTAACTGGGACAAATGGGATAATTCAAAACTGCTTTTTTTATGAACTGTTTGTTCTCTACTATAAGATGATTTATTATTTAAATTTTAAAACATCTCCATTGGCTTATTTCAGTAGGATACTATCTAATCATCTTATTTTATCTGTAAAATTAGTCATTACATTGACAGATGATCTTATTTACATGCTTAAATTAAGGAGAAACACACTTAATTTTAAGACATTTTCACTTTCCTCCAGAGATGAAATGCTGCAAAATGCAGCCATGTTCCATGCAGAAATTACAACCGTACAACCGTAAACATGCCTTTATGCTTTCTTTACATTCATAGGTGTGTTTACAGTGGTTGCATGCGAAGAACACAGACAATCCTCATGATGTTTAAAGTGCATAGCTTTATAAATCTTTTTGGCTAATTGAAATTAGAAATGATGGTGCTGTACATACAGGCGTATACCATTGTGAGCTATATTGCCTGCAGAGTTTTCAGCATACAACCGTTATGAAGGGGTTACACTATTATTTACTAATCCATATCTGGAAGAGATTAGGTATAGATGAGGGATCTAAAAGCACTTGTTTCTTAAAAAAAAAATATTAACCATCTCAGGCTCAAATTAAGTTGTAGTTGCAGGAAAAATCTGATATGTGTAGAAAATGATTTTATGGGGTAGCAATATAAAATTCAGACTTTTATTTTGAAAGAGACCTTCACATGCAATGAATTCTGGGATGTTGCAGATTTGCAACAGCGACCCGGACTGGTAAATTAACACTGAAGACTGAATCTGATATGAACGTTAACTTTATTCGAATGTCACAAACAAAATTAACAAAACAAAATCCGAAAAAAAACTTTTCTCACAAAATTAGAGAACTTTTTTTCCACAGACATCTCAAAACCTCTTGAGAAGTCCGTTTCTGTTAAACTGTTGCTCAAAATATAGGCAAACTAGTAGATAAAGCATGTAGCATCCATTGGTACCT